GAGTTACTGTCACAGACAGGGGACAAGAGGCCAGCAGGGAAAACCTGGGTATGCCTGGGCATCTTGTCATATCCACTGGCCACCTACAGTTGCATCTTCTTCCCATCTAGGGATTGACTGACTCCAGGGAGAATTTCCCTCATTTTACCAAACTCATCTCTTCTGGAACCACCTTCATAATGCACCCATTTGGCTCTGCACTGTTTGGGTTACTTAAATTAGAAATTCACCAGTTTTTTTTCCTTTATGAATTTTTTTATAGCTCTAAGAGATCCTCGGTTTTACTCCTGTCCCATCTACAAGAAGCCAGTCCGAACAGACTTGAATTACATCGCTGCTGTGGACCTCAGGACGGCCCAGACTCCTGAACACTGGGTGCTCCGTGGGGTCGCCCTCCTCTGTGATGTCAAGTAGCATGGGGCTTGTCCCCCACCCAGTACTTTGGAAAATGCAGCATACAGATGACCAGACCCTTTATCTTCTATGAGCAATGAACACTGTGTAAATCTGGTTGATCATGATTAATGAGCTGCATAGGGTTTCCTTCTCCTCAGTCGGATGCTTAATTACATTTAACCGGTTTCATCATTAATGACCGATCACTGTGTTTGCTGAAAAGTTGCTTGGAGATTTAAAAGTAAAATTTACAACTTCCTAATGAAGCGTGGCCCTCAAATCCACAGTAATATATTTTTTCCTCCTTGAAGTCTAAGGACTGACGAGGTTGAGCAGATGGTATTTTCCTTGAAAGGATTATTCTTCTGTTAATGTGCTTCTGGTGACAGCCCCGTTCTCTAAGGTGACACGGCAAGTTTGTGCTGATTTTGCTTTATTTGCCTTTTGCATTTAGGTCAGGTTGAGAGATTTATGTTCATGGCTCAAGCAGCCAATTAAAAAAAGACCTCTTAAAAAACAGAAGGAAATATAAGACTGGGATAAGAATGTGATTGGGTGAATACACCATTCATGTAATCCTGAAGAATTAACATATAGAATCATGTTCAACTCCACTGATAATTAATAATGAGATACTAATTGATATCTGTTATAAGAAAAAAAATGAAAGCTAGAAGTAAATTGTGGTGAAGTCTTTGTCAAATGATTCAATCAAGACTCCTAGAGCAATGTAAATTGACCCATCCTTTTTGTAAAATAATTAACTAAGCTCAGAAAGAGGCATAAAAAGGTTCACAGGCTTTGGTTCTTATTTTCTCTCTTGGAAATCTATACTAAGGAAACCATTTAAAAGACCTAACAAATTCATGTGCAAAAATGTATTCAATAACAGAAATAAATGAAAAATACCCTAAATCTTCAATACTAAGGCTATGTTTAAGGAAATTAGGAGATATTAGGCAGCCATGAACAGCAATATAAACAGTTAATAATATAGAAATGGTAAGCACATATTAACTTAAAGATAGTTAACAGAATATTGAGTACTGTGATTATAACTGTAAAATGTATTTAGACAATAACGTGGAAAAAAACAGACATGATAGCATGGTAAAGGTTTCTGTTGACTTAAAAAATATAATGATTGGAAGAAAAAAATAGGGAAAGAATAAAAGTCTTAGATGGTGTATGGGGACTTCACATGGGCTTTCATTATTTAAGGAAGTTTTCATATATTTTTTATTTTAAATTCAGTTCTAGGCATAAATTATAAACCACTTCATTTATAACCTATTGACTAGAAAACTTGGCCAGTATTAAATTAGAATTGTGTTTTACAAATGTTACCTTTAGTTCTGCATTACTTGTTTCTACATAAAAGGTTTCGTAGGGATGGAGGGCTATAGGGAGACAGGTGTAATCCTTCTTACTAGGCTTCACTCTGTGATAAGTATGAATTTATGCTAATTATGATGAGTTAGACCTGAGTGGTTCATGTGGCTCCTACCCATCTTCTACCTTGACACCCAAATCGCTGATTTGATCCTCTGTGTCACCCAACCTACTGTTTATTCCTTCCAGTGTAAGCTTTATTTCAACTATTGTATTCTCCATTTCAGATTAATCTTTTTTTTATGGACTTCTACCCTTCTTGGATGATGCTGTTTTTATTTGAGCAGTTTCTTTTCATCTGAGTTAATATGTCAGTTGATTTTTGTAGATTGTAGTCAAGCCATCATTTTATTTTGAAGAACATATAATGAAAATGTGAAAATAATGAGAATTAATAAATTTTTAAATGAATGTCTGAATTGAGATTGGTACTTATTAGAAAGGGGTAAGTGCCATTGAATATCCAGAATTAAGCTTTCAAAACTTGATTTTATGTTAAATAACTTGAACATGCATAATTCATATAATTTTATGATACACCCCTGTATATATGTAGAAAAGGACATCATAAAAATAACTAAAAATTTTTGGAACTTTTCAACAAGGAATGCCTCTGAAGCAGTGAAGAACCAATGAAGCCCCTTTTTGCCTCACCTTCACTTTCATCCCCCACTTCCCACTCACTGAACGGCATTCTGCATGTTACTGAGTCAGGGGCAAGGGAGGACCCATTGACTGAATCTGCCAGGTGATGGGGAATCACTGACTGACTTGGATATGGAGAAAACAACATCAAGGGACTTGGTACCATTGGAGAGTGATGGCCCAGTCTTTTTCATCTGTCTCAATATTGATTTATCACATTACTTATTTTGCACCTCCTGTGTGTTGGGTATTCAAGTGTACTGGTGGAATGATGGTGGGGAAAAAAATTATCACAGTCCCTGATTTTTTGGAATGCAAATCAGAAGAACAGACACAGAAAATAAACAACTATTCAGGTGTGTAATTTTTTATAATCTCAGATTATGATTGCATAACCTGACGCATGTGTGAGATACTTAGAAAAAGATAAAAAGATTGTGGGTTAAGTGCTACAAAGGAAAATACTGAATGCCATGAGTAAGAACAGGGGAGACTGCAGTACTTTCCGTGTGTCACAGATTAGCAGACAGAAGCCACACTATAGTGGCATCTATCTATCTATCTATCTATCTATCTATCTATCTATCTATCTTCTATCTAGCTGTCATCTATCTATCATCTATATATATATCATCTATCTATATCTATCTATCTATCTATCTATCTATCTATCTATCTATCTATCTATCTATCATCTATCTATCTATGTATCTATCTATCTACCTATCCATCATCTATCTATCTATTATCTATCTATTTTATGTTCCAAAGACAGGAGTGTAAAGTTTTATTGAAGACAAGGTTATATACAAACCAATGTTCCCTCGAAATGATGTTTTGAGTAAAAATAGCTAAGGGACCATTGGGTTTTTAGAGGTCATTGGAGAACCAAAGAAGCATATTACATTGGAGGGATTAGACTTAGAAATCCAATCACCATAGACTGCATACATTTGGTGAACAGGAAAGGTAACAGGCACTCTCAAGTGACAGAGGATTTAAATATTCTTTTATAAGGTGAGAAGAAGAAATAAGAGGCTCAAGAATTGGAGGAGTTTATTGCTTTGGATATAGGAAAAAGCCAAACAGAGGGAGCCAGGTATAGTTCACCTCTTTAGGTTGGTAAGAAGCCAAATGATTTCCTAGAGGGCTGGGTTTTGAATGCTTCTGCTGGATACTCTTATGACCACTTAAGGTTTAAAATGCAGCCTCCACCCTGGATGTGTTATTAAATAACTAGTACCTTCCTTTGTTCTGGCCGATGCATAGATCAGGGTGCAGGTGTCCTCCAGAAGTTCATGTGTTCCTACCAGATCCTCCTCTTTACCCTCTTTGCTGTGTTGGCATCAGCAGCTTTCATCTTCCTAGGTAAGGACTTCTTATGTTCACACCATGGAATTCTGATTTAGAAACTGCCTTCATTTTATTTCACAGATTGTCCCAAATGACTCTAGCAGGCCACTCTTCTGGTTATCCCTAAAACTTGGGATAGGACCTTCCTAGTGGTAGAATAAGACAGTGAATAGGACGCATCCAAAATGTGCTTATGGGGATGGCTCTCCATGTGTCTTGATTCAGGTGCTTTTGGTGCTGCTTCCTTTTGAAGGAGCATCCTTCTGTTAGCCTTGCCTTTCCTCCTGTCAGCTGACGGAGGACTGTGGAGCAGCCACCACACAACTACCATTTGTGCATAGCTAATGACAGTGGTGATTTCATAGCATCCTGGGCATTTCACATCCATGAAGTGGGAATTGGGTTCTGCATCAGGTGATTATTCTTGTGCTTCCTCTTCTCTTCTGCAGAGGAATGAAGGAGATCCTTAGTGAGAGGCTGAGAAGGGCTGCTTTCTAAATATACTCCCAAGCCTTGTTATGACTGCTGCCAACTACAGAATAGTGGCTGATGGAAATCGTGTGTCTGTAAGTCATTAGAGTGAGAAGCACTTCTTTGTGTTAAAATGTTATTTGCAATGGAAAATCTTATTGTAAAAAATTCAGCATTAAGAGACATGATGAGCAAACTACAATTTTATAGTTAAGTAACTTGCAGAATTCTCCAGTGTCGATAAAATACATGACATCAACAATGTCTTTATCAGTGATAAATTTCTGTTCAAAGCTGCAGCTTTATAAAAACTAGATATGTTAATGCATACTGATAGTTTAGTTTATATTTGAAACACAAATATCTTTAGTAATGATAAAAATATTATAATATACATACAAGCAATTTTCTCTTAAAGACACCACCTCCCCCTCCACCCAAATGCACAACATACATTTTTCCCCTCATGTCAGGCCCTGATGAGTGCACAATTGCTTTTACATTTTAAATGCTATTTGTATTGCAAGTATTAGGAGTGATTTTTAAAATTATATTGTGCAACTGATTACTGTTGATTAGTAGCCTCTATCAGCACATCAAAACAAGGCCTGTTAAGGGCAAACAAATGGCCCACTTATAATCACAATATGGTCCTTCTGATTGGGTGCATGCTTTGGAAAACCAATAAACAAATCAGTAGGTTATGGAAACACAAGGAAATATGGTGATTTGGCTGATAATTTTTCTGGTGTTTAGTTTTAGGAATTTAGAAATTAGTGCATCCTGGTCAGTTGACTGGCACCTGACGTATCGAACATGTGTATGTTGTGTCCACAGACACCTCCAGCGATGGAGAGGAGAGAACTCAAGGTCAGCTTTAGAGTCAGATACGGGATTTGGCTAAGAAACCATGAGTCCACAAGAATATTCTTTGCCTTTTTTAAAATGGTGAGCCTCATTCTGTGTTGCACTTCAAACAAAGGGCCTTATCAATGCAGGAGAAGAATGTGCCCCTTGCATAGCCTGTACCCTCAGGGGCATTTCTGGTTCTGTTTTCAGCCTCATAAGGCTGAGTAGACAGTAATTATAGGTTGAATCCTGCTCTCTCCTTTCATTTGCATGAAGAGAAGTGAGAATAAAGAGACTGGATGTGAAGGCAGAAAACTGAGGGTGGAAGGAAATATCCTGAGTGGGGTGGGATGGCGAATAAGAAGGGGATGTTTCTTTCCCTCAGATACTGTTAGCATTTGATTACAGTCATGTGCTACGTAACAAAAGGGATGCCTTCTGTGAAATTTGTCGTTAGATGATTGTGCCATTGTGCGAACATCATAGAGTGTACTTACACAAACTTAGGTGGTATAGCTTATTACATGCCTAGGCTACAGGCCTGTACATCATGTTACTATACAGAACAATATGAGACTTAAGTACAAGAGAAAATTATGCAATCAAGACATGAAGTAAATACAAGATGTGTGAGCCTGCTGCCCATGTAACATGGCATAATGCTTTACAGAAAACTTTTAAAAAATAATTAAAAGGACACTCTAATGATAAAAAGTTTAATATAGTAATACACCAACTAGTAACATAGTTGTTACTAGTCATTATTAGGTATTATGAAGTATGCATAATTGTACATGCTATACTTTTATATGACTGACAGCATAGTAATGTTGTGCTATGACTTGATGATGGCTACAAATTTTTCAGCCCCACTACCATCTTATGGGACCACCATAATATAGGTGGTATGTCGTTGACTGAAATGTTGTTGTGTGTGCGTGACTATATTAGCAATAACCCTGGCAGATCAGGACAATGGATGAATAATCCCCCCAAATGAGCATTTAAAAAATAGCTTCTTTATCGCCTGGATTTCAGAGTTTTCAATACAAATGCCAACAGTATTATGATCTAATATTATAATTTCAATGCCTTAAAAAATTTAATGTGTGGTTTTATAAGAGTCCTGTCCACTCCTGCCTTTTAGGAACATCCATAAAACCACTGTGTGGATTGGCTAATGAGTATTCTTCCTTTGCCTTCATGATTTAGGACTCCATTAGTTTCCCATGGCTCTGGGTTCATAGGCAAGCTTAATTGTTTCCAAGTTTGAGTTTACGTTGGGTGGGTGCAGAGCCAAGACTGGGAGCCTTGCCCTCCTTTTAATTTGCATGCCAAATGTCATTTTTCATTGCGCTATATGTTACCGTCCTTGCTGTGCGTTCTGTGGGTAGAGCCAAGACATATCATGCAGCACGCTGCTTTGCTCCTGCTCTTGTAATGTTGTATGAGTACTGCTGATACCATTCGTCATTTATTTCTTCACTTAGCCTAATATGCGTAGCATTCATTTCAAATGCAGTCACAAACAGGCTCGCCTGGAAAGCCAATTACGTGCCCCCCCCCCTCCTTTGTGTAATTTTAATAAGGCTGCCTGGAGTGTTCATGAGTACTTGAGAAGGGAGAAAAATTAAATGTGATGAAGGACACCGAAGAGACTGCCTGGAAAGTCATAGGATGGGGAGATTTGTGAAGGATTATGAAGCAAAGCCTGTGCTCTCGCTGATACTAAACACGCCTCTTGACCGCTGGGCGCAGTTTAAAATTCACTCCATGGAGCTTCACCTCGCTCAGCGCAGTCTGCTGTGATCTGTCCATTTATAATTTATTCATGCAAATTCTTAAAGCAAATCCCAGGCAGCCCGAAGAAAAAAGTTTATGAGATATTTTAGTGTTTTAGCATTTGAAAAGTGATTATTTTCATGCATCAATGAAACTTTTTTGCTATTATAGCAAATAGTGAAAATGTTTTTATAATGTCTCAGGAATGTAATAAATTGCTACTGTCCCCTGACACACCATGCTACTGACCACAAAGATTTATAAGGGGTACAAATTAGAGATTTTAAAAAGATGATCATTGTACGCATAATCATATTCTTGGAAAACAAAAATTCTTTTCAAGGTATTTTGATTATATTGTAAATCAGAAAAATCAAGCATTAACTAGAGACTATAGCTAATGAATATGTTTAGGTTCCTTCAGCCTATTTTTTTGTTTATTTTTCTAATCTGCTTTCCCCATGCTACTAATTGTTTTCAGTGGAGAAAAGCAGAACACCTTAGGGGACCCATATTGATACCATGGAAGGATGGGAGAATTTACTGATAAATTCAGGTTGAGTGTGAAATAGTGAGACAGCTTTTGTAAGTTGATGTTAAAGATGTAGAATCATTATACACTCATTATTTTGATCCCTACTAATACTAGGTGTTTGCATTTAGATACAAGTAAGCTATTGCTAATACAAATATGTATTATGCACAATGCATAGAGCAAACATGTAGTGTTCTGAATTCTGTGTCTTGTATATGAATAAAAATAATGATCTTATTTCAGAAATATTTTAATCCCCTTTTTAAAAAAATATAATAGGCGTGGGTCTCTAAGTGAATGTGAAAGAGAATGAGAAATCATCTGGGAATTAAATAGACCTTAGCAATATAATTTCATGCCAGCCTCCTTATAACTTACAACAGTACATCTCATGGAAGAAATGTGAAACCGGGCACAGCCTTGTCACAGACCATACAGTTGTCTGTGGTGTGGGTCTGACTCTTGCTGCAATGATGCCCTTGTGGATCTACTGCGATAGAGTCCATAGCACACCGTTCCTGCCACACATGATAAGCGTGGCATTACAGGATCTGTGGTCGGTGGCCACTAATATAAGTCCCAAGGTGGTTTACAGGATTATGGAGCCCTGGACAAACCTTTGCCAAGTTGTGAGAACCTCAGATGGTGGCATAAAGACCTTTTCTGCTATCTTGTCACCTCCTTGGTTCAATCCTTGGTTCCCATGAGGTTGAACTGCTAACCGCTTAAGGTAAGACCCCTTGGAGCAATACTTGCATTTAGATAGAAAACTGGACTTAAAGAGACCTTCGTTGGCTATGCTTCACTGGCCTAGATTATTCTTTTGCGCTTAGGAAACAGCCAGAATTTTCACTGAAATATCTTTGCAGTGTGGGTTGGGGTTGACTCATGGATATCACAGGTTGTCTTTCAAATTTAATCCCAGGCTAAATGGAGAGCTCTGCATTTCACACATGAGACCTTGACAAGAGCTGCAGGTTCAAACCCATCCTGGCCTATTTCAATAGAAATCAATACTATTTTGTTACAAAATGAAAAGTCCAGGAATGCCAAAACCAAATGACACTTCGGTCCAATAGTTGTAAACCTGAATCTTCTGGCCTTGTCAATCACTGTATTTGGTCATTTTTGAAACATATGTTTTTTATTGATTTCAGAGAGGAAGGGAGAGGGAGAAAGATAGAAGCATCAATGATGTGAGAGAATCATTGATCACCTGCCTCCTGCATGCTCCACACTGGGGATTGAGCCTAAAACCTGGGCATGTGCCCTGACTGGGAGTCAAACCATGACCTCTTGGTTCATAGGTTGACACTCAACCATGGAGCTATGCCGGCTGTGCTGTATTTTGTCATTTTTGTTTGTTTGTTTAGGCTCCACCCATCTCCCTAAAGGCTCTGTTAACCATGAGCTCCTTTATATGTTACTAGAGGCCTGGTGCATGAATTCATGCACTGGTAGGGTCCCTCAGCCTGGTCTGCAGGGATCAGGCTGAAACTGGCTCTCCTATATCCCCCAAGGGGTCCTGGATTGCAAGAGGGGGGTTCTTGGGCTCCCTCCTCTCTGGTTCCAGGTGTGTCTCCATAGAACTGCAGCTGCCAAGTCACCGCAGCTCTGCAGCTCTTGTGTTGAGCATCTGCTCCCTGGTGGTCATTGCACATTATAGCTACTGGTTGAATGGTCAAATGGTCAGACGGTTACTTAGGCTTTTATATACATAGATTGTGACATTAATCATAGATACAGAGTCTATTATGTAACAAAATGTCCATGGGTAAAAGAGTCCCACTCCCATCCACATCCACATTTCCAGCCCCTGCTTCCAGCCCTGCTCTGCTGGAGGTTCTAGTTTCCGACCTTTACTGTTTACCTGCCCAACTCAAGTCATCCTTTGGTGGTGGCTATCATCTGAGGTACCATAGGGATGGGAATGTGACTACTGCCAGGCTCTGAAGGTCCCACCTCTCTTTTCTTGAGACACTCCTCATCCCCAACTGGCTGCCTAGGCACACCATTTCTTAACTACTTGGATACCTGGGAGGTAGGAGAAAGCCTGACCGTAGAAAGTGGAGCATTTGGAGCCAATAGACCAGTTTGAGAAACTTGGTTAGCATTTCTGAGTCATTGTTTCCTCACCTAAAAAGTGGGTTTACAATACCTTCCTTGTGAGGCTGTTGTGAGGAACGGTAGAGACCATCAGAAAGTACCCAGGACAGAAGAGTGCTCAGCAGAGGTCAGTTCCTCACCCCTCCCTATGACAGGTCAATTCAGGTAAGAAGAAGAGAGGCAGGTGGGCTGCCACCACCTGGCCTGAGGATACTTCTGTAGGAGGTGACCCTAATGGTCAACAGGTGAGATCCTTCTAGTCCTTCCCATACTGTGTCAAACCCAACTTTATCTGCAATAATGCTATTTCCTCCTTGTCAATTTAAGAAAATTGAATTCTTGGGGTTCCTTTTATCTTTATTGTTTTGATGTGACGAATTTCTAAGTCAATTTCAAAGGAAAGCTTCCAAGCCTCTACAGTTTCCCTCTGCATGGTGTGTCATAAATACCTTAAGTATGTATTCTGATATTTCATTAATGCTAATGTCTGATGCTGACAATCACGCCGCTAAATTGTCAAATGATACCGCCTTTCCTTTGTTTTAGCTCAGATAGTGAGACAGATCATTTCATTTACAAACCAGTGACCATCTACATGAGGTAACAAAAGGAAGATGTAAAATAAACAACCAATATGGATTTGCAAGCAAAATTACTTTTGTTTATTTGAAAAAAA